AGATCCGCGACCCGAGGTTCGAGATATCCGAATCCGAGATGTGAGACCCGAGATCCGAGACACGAAACCCGAAATTCGAGGCGCGAAAATCCATTTTCGAGATCCGAGATTCGAGATTCCAAATGCTAGATCCGAGATCTGAGATTCGAGATGTGAGATTCGCGATCCGAGATGGGATTTGAGATTCGAGATCCGAGGTTCTAGATCCATATTCCGAGGTTCGAAGAACGAATTCTGAGATTCGAGACCCGAATTCCAAAATCGAGGACCGAGGTCCGAGATACGAAACCCGAGATTCGAGGTGCGAGATTGTAATTTCGAAAAGCGAGATTCGAGAAGCGATATTTGAGGTTCGAGATTTGATTTCGAGACGCGAGATTCGAGATACGAAAGGCGAGATTCGCGACCCGAACTTCGAAATACAGATTTACGATCCAAGACTCGAACTTTGAGATTCGAGGCGAAATACGAAATCTTGAATTCGCGATTTATATTTATATGCAAAAATGAAATTATGGAAGATTTGCATAGATTAACGATGGAATTTGTACAACGTCATTGAATATGTATACAAATCGAAAAATATTGTTGTTACTTATTTTATAATTAATGAACAAAATCGCATTGAAATGATTGATTATTATTGATTATTACGAAAGGTAATTCCTTAATATTTTGCATATATTTAATAAGGAATCTGAAGGAATTATGATTTTTCTGGTTTTAAATATTAATAAATTAATATTTCTATTTTCTGGAATTTGAATTGTCTATTTTTTGGTGAAATTTAACTAGATATTAATTCAAGAATCGAACAAATATAATATATATTCTAAATAATTATATTTCTATTTTTACCGATAAATAATTAAAATTAAAATTACGCTATTTATTTGTATTTTTACAATAAATATATACAATTCAATATTGAATATATTTCAAAAAATAATCTATCTATTTTTATTTTCGTCAACATATTTTTCGCTAAAAATATAAATATTATCTATTTTATAATTGTCTAGGAATTGCTTAAATTCATCCGTCGTAATAACGACGTCGAACCCTCTATTGGAAATTCTTCGAAAAATAATAAAGGAAATATTTTTTGTATTTTTCTTATAATATTGGAAATTATCTTGGATTGGCACTTCGATTTTTTTCAAATCAAAATAATTGTTATATGAATGGTTCGATTGCAAATGTTATATGATTAAATTCTTATATTTTTATTTATTTTAATTTATTTTATATATTTTTGGTTTTAACGATATTTTCCAAAATATCTAATTAATATATTAAAGAATAATAGATTTTATGGATGACATTTGATCTTGATTTGAAATATGATAATAATATTTATCGACGATTCCATATTGAAAGACCTATAAATTTGAGAAATGCAACGGATAGGCCAATATAACAATCTTAATTGACCGTATAGACCCTCGCGCACGACCATGCCACGATTATGGATTCATCGGTCCTAATTCATATACCAGCCGCAAGCGGTATCGCTAACGTTGTTGGTTACATAATGCTAAATTGGTAAGGATTCCTATTTGGAATTATTTGCCCCGATGTTTTTATATTATATAACAATATCATAGCGCAACCGTGCACCAAACATACCTACGATATCGAATATACATCGGAAATAAAGAAAGAACGCGCAGAACCTCTACAATATATGAAGATGATAACGATCCATAGCATCCTCAAAGATAATCCTCGCGAGCGTGGGGCACACAATGTTACAACATGCATCTAACAATAAGGAGGTCTGCTTTGAAGTGGGTGTCTTCCAATATAGAAGTGGGTGTCCAAATTTTAAGCCAATCCCGATCTAAACGCAAGAGTGGACAAGCACATATTTTCCACAACGCGCAGTCGCAGTCATCTTAGGCCATGAACCTGGCAAAGAGTCAATCAAAGATAATCAACAACTCACATCAGCACACCACACAAATTTGGCTTTTAAAAAACTGCACAGTTACTTCTCTTCAGGTGCATGTGTTTCCTTTTTGACTTCCGCAGCACTTGTCACAACCCCATAAGTGCTGGCTTTCTTCAAGACATCACTTGCCATTTTTTTGGCGGAAATCCAATGCAACTTGGACTCCACTGTCGCACAACTGATCAAGAACCAGAGTGCGCCGAGCCATTCCTGCAGCAGCCCAATCCTTGCTATGTTCCTTCGAGGGCATCTCATTCTTGGCTTCTTTCCATCCACAGCTATACGCCTCAATCCCATGATGAAAAGTAAATTGCATTATTCTGCAGAGCAATTCGATACTCCTGACTCAACAGGGCTGAGTAGAATGCAGAGTGCAGCTTCTTCTTCAAAGCCTCAATGGTGGTGATTTCATCCTGGCCCAAACAAGACTTAATAGTCGATATTTGTTTCACTACCACCCATTGATATTGCAAAAGTGTTTGTCGCCTTCGGTGCAGTCGATGGCTTTCGTCCCTCGTGGAGGTTCCTCACAGGTGTGGCCACAGCACAAGGTCCCCTTGCCTCCTGCCAAGGAAAAGGTGCAAAGCTAACAAACAATTATCAAAACAATATCCGACGAACCGATACATCAAAGACAGTACACGTTACACAACTTGATAGCTAAAGCAACTGTCCTGCTTAGAATCATGGTCACTCAATTTGTCAGGTTCCTGAATCCAAACAATGAAAACGAGCAACCTAACAACCAACTCCACCATATTCAGCACATCAAGCAAAAGTTCAGGTACAATTTAGCATGATTTTGAGTTTTCTTTGAGCCAAGAGGCCTCCGAAGGATCAGCCAATGATGGAAGATATTCCATGGTCTCAGACTCCATCATTGCGTCATCCAAGTTCTCCTTGCCTGGGCGCTTCTTACGCTTGGGTGCTGGTTTTGCAGCTGTAGCTGGCTTCCTTTTCACACCTGGCCGTGACCAAACATGATTCTGATAGACTCTGATAGATTAAGAATTAGCAGCTCAACTACGCAGTACTGACCAGGCCTTTCTCATTGGCAGCTGGCCGCTTACGAACTGGTTCATCAGCACCACCAGAACTGTCATCATCCTGATCATCGCTATCCTTATTGCGGCCTTTGGCGAGAGGAGTTGCTTCTGTCTCTGGCTTTTCTTCTTCTTCGTCAGAGTCATCATGCTTAGAGTTCTTGGTAGCATGTGACTTCGCCTTGGCTTTGGCCGTGCACTTGGCCTTAGCTCTTGGCTTGCCATCATTCTTCTCCTCTGAGGATGATCCCGAAGCACGGAAAGGAGGCGGCAAGCCTGGCCACGGCAAATCTAACTCAGGCTCAATATAATCCAAAGCCACTAGAAAATTACCCAGCCTTCTTCCCCAACCTTCATTGCGCTGGGCTGAGACTTGGTTTCGAACCGCGATGCTGCCTCAGGTTTTGCAGGTGCACTTGCTTGGTTTGGCGCTTCGTCATTCTTCTTTGCTGCTGCTGAGCTGGAATGGGACTTGGTATCCTTTTCCTTTTTCTTTGTTGCCTCTGCTTTGCCTTTCCCTGGACTCCTCAGCTTTGCCTCTGGCTTCACTTTTGGCCGAGCTGGCGATCCACTATGGCCAGCAAATAAGTTCTCCAAATTGAAGGCCTTACTTAGTCGAACACAAATTTTTAACAACATAATACTTTCTCAAAGTTCAGAAAATCAGAACTTGATTTAATTTAGAGACATGTAATTGGGTTTCAAGCATTTGGTTTTTTCAATGATGAATGTTCCACAAAGTGCTGATGAGAAGCAGGAACTGGACGGGGTCCAACATCCATTCGATCGCCAGAAGCAAATCCAGTAAATTCTGGCTCAGAGTCCGAAGATATCGCCATGGGGAGACGATCAAGAAACGCCTTTTAGGAAGCAACAGCTTCCCCCAACCCTGCTGAAACAACCTCAAAAACATGCAACAACAACCCAATGAAGCAGCCATTCATGCAGCTTTGAAATGCCCACAACTTGTCTAAGCTCATTGGATCTTCGTTACGGTATGATGTTTTCTCAGCGCCACGGTCCATGGGAGATGGCGCGCCTCTTCTCGAGGCCGGCTCTGGGCAGTTGGTCCAGGCCATCCACAGCGAAAGAATAGTGTACACACTATTTTATTCTTATAGTTGTAGCGACAGGCTACTTGGTGAAGTATAATTGTGAAGAACTTGAGAACCAACCAATTTGAAGGTTTGCTGTGAACTCCCAGTCAAACCGCTTCCTACTCATGGTCATGTAGACTCATTTAGACGAGTTCTTCCAACATAGCAGGTGACTGGTTGTAGCAAAGCGACAATAGCACATGTTGGCGATTGCTGGGCTAAGAGCAAATTCATAATACAAGAACTTGGCTCGTTCTAGGCTACATGACTTGCACTACTTCATTGGGCTGCAATTCAATTTGCCCTTTCAAGACACACACTGGACGTTGTGGCACCAGCTTCGTCATTCCCCCTGCCGGTTCAAGCCTGACCAGGGATCAACCGAATCCTACATATAATCCTTTAAAATCATGAAAAACACTGACTGTATGACATTGAAGCAAACCCAACACTTATCATAATTGAATCAAACCCAACGAAGCCTTGTATTTCTTTCAACTCTGTTGAAATCATAAACTATCGGGGAGTCATATACTTTCAAACTTCCACACCTCACACGCCATGCAATTTGGAATGCTTTGCACTGAGTGAGCTTCCCAAGATCCATCTTGGCACCAAAGGTAACTGGTGTGGTAGCAGCAGCTTTCTTGCCAGTGCTCTTCTTGCGCTTCTTCTTCGGGGGATCATTTGCAGGGTCCAAAACAAAGCAGAACGCTTTCTCCTGGCTCATCTTGCCTTCCACCAGATCCACCACATGGTGTGAGAATCCGACCTTCACCTGAGACCAAAAGACTTCAGATTATAAAATATGTTCAACTGTTTGGTGTCCCTTGGAGGCAAACTATTTGGTTTCCCTTAGAATGGAAATTAGATGAGATTTGCTTGCAAATAGCATTGATGAGGCAATCAAGTGACTTCCCCCTGATCTTCCAGGCTCATGAGCAACTCTTTCAGCGTCACAGCTTTGTCCAAGCATGGGAGCTCAGTGAGGTGGGAAGCGATCTTCTTCTTCTCCAAAATCACCGAAGAAGACAATTCAGCATGGCATTTCAGCCACGAACCATGTGAATCAGCCATTGCGCCAACTGCATCTTGCCCATCACACCACATGCCAGACCCAAATGAAAAGAGTTCCCTGAAGTTTGGTAGCACTGTTTGTTCGGGTCCAGCCCTGAGGTACGCTGCCTTGCCGCCATCAGCGAGCACGAGGCCAATCTGGCTATTCAACACCAGTTCCGACCTTGCACATCATTTCGAAAAAGGATGAAAAGGTAGGGATCTGGTTGCCAGTATACTGGCAAAATTCCAGATACGTGTTTCTTAGGTTTAAACACCTATTATTCAATAATATCTGGTTGCCAGTATACTGGCATATCCAGATAAAGTTTTGGTAGGCTTGCTTGTGTTTTATTCAGCACTGTAGCAGAGCTTGGTCATAGTCAAGTACAATCCAAACTGAAGGCGATGAAGTATTCTAAGGGCCTAGCGCGTTGGGCAAAGTAGCCAAAGATTCTGCTGTAAGCACCTTGCCATTGTCAGGCTCCACAGTCTCCACCTTGACATTTTCAGAAGCAGGAGCAGGTGCAGCTTGAACCTTGTCTATGATTCTCAGGTTTTCGGTGTTGTAGCTCGCATTGTGGTCCGTCACTATCTCTTCAAACTCAGGGTTCTCATCAAATTGCTGCAGAAATTGCTCTTGAATGATGAGTGAACCAGATGGATGCAGCGTTGTCACTTTGAAATTCTGGCCGGAGACACCTTTGGCAGAATCACCACTGCCAAGGTTCGAGATCTCAGATAGAACTGGGGCAAAGTCCGGAAATCCATCCAGAGAAATTCCATCACCCTTCCTGGCCTTTTCATATACGGATGAAGCCAGTCGATCCACCAGCACTTCCGCTGGTGTTGAGAGCCGTTTTCTCTTGGAGGGAGCATCGACCATCAAGGTGCCACACACCATTTTGGGGAATTCAACCTACCAGAAGAAACTAAATCAATGATGTAGCCAAATCCAATTTGGTGTAAAATATTATTTGATTCAGATCCATGGTTTCCAGAATCTTACATTTGATTGTAGAACTCTTTGGGCACCCCAACCTCCAAGCAAGCAAGACTTGGGAAGCCATCGTACCCATGTGCATCAATCATAGCCACCCTTTGAACTGCTGTTTGCTGGGTCAAAGCCGCAATAATCTTCTTGATCACATCGGTTCCACCACACGCCTAAGCAGAAAATGCATGACAGATTGTTTCATAGGTTCTTCATTTTCGATAAAACAAATGAACTGCATCGAAACTTCATAACATCCAGAAACAACAGGTTACCAGTCAGTCTACTAACTTTTGCCGGGAAACCTGCTTGCTCTCTTGGCAGTCTGTGAAGGCTGCATTCATTTTTACTTGACACCCTTCCTGGTTCGGTGGTTTGTACATCTCCACTCTTGGGAGCATCTCAACATCCGTCACAATGCCCCGCTTCCACACTGGCGACTTCCAAAAGATGTTGCCAGTACTCGCTTTCGCCTGAGGATATGGCAGTGTACTGCACTGAGTAATCTGCAATCAGGCCAACAATTTCAATATTATGGAAGCCAGCATGCTGGCTGCCATGCACACTTCAACTTGCAGATTTGATTTTTGAACATCTTTCGAGATGCAGGCACGTGCAGAAAAGTAAAGCATTGCAGCGCAGCAACCAGGACAGGTTTTGAGAGAACAATGGAGCACAGCAAAGTGAAACGAAGCAAAAACAGCAAGCAAGTCTTTCATAAAAGCCATGTTTCAAAATAAACTTTCATAAAGGGTCAAGCTACTGTCACCATCAAGCCTTTCTGAAAAGCTAACCTGTTGCCATAGATAGTCGAAGGGTCGAAGACGATCATCAAGTCTTTCAACACCAGGTTCCGGGCAGGCTGTCGTAGCTCAGATTCAAAACTATGTTGAAAGTCACTCAAAGCGCTCATGGTTCCAGGTGGGGGGGGCAGTCATCTCATCTGGCATGGGTGTGTCATCATCATCATCATCCTCCTCGGGTTCTTCTTTTTTGTGGTCATCCTCAGAGTCGTCATCTTCATCCTTCTCGCCCGAAGATTTCCTGTCAGACACCATTGCTCAAAATGTTTTCTACAAAAACACTGCTGTACCTACTGATTTGACTTTGAAAGAGCTGAGCTGTGGGCCCTGCTTTGCTTTCGCTCGCCCTGTTTGCGTGAATGATGATGGCCACAGAGTTGCCAGGCATAGCTGTCAAGAGCCCTGTCACTAGGGATACAATGTAGTTCTTCTTCATGAGTGGCATGACCCCGGCAGTCGTCATGTTCACCCAAAGCACGCAGCCCTCTTCATACACGGATCTCAGGAAGGTCATATTTTCCAAACTGCCCTCCACCCATGGCAGCACGGTGGGCAAAACAGTTTGCTCAGGCTTCACCAGCCACACTTTCATGTTGTTGTCCACGAAGGCATTGACCACCTCCCACGACTGTTTGTGCCTCAAAAGGATCACTCCAAGAAATACACACACACTATTGCACACCTCTAAGATGAAACAACCATGAATGAACCTTTGAAGCAAGATAGTTATTGAAAAAACAATACAATGCCACATCATCATATCGCCGAAATTTGTAGTGCCGTCAAGAAACATATTCTCCAATTGCGCTAGCAGCTCGCGGCGTTTCACTGCTTCTTCTTTTGTGCTCCTGTGCACGCAGGATCATGAACACATAAGAGCTGCGACCTCATAGCATCAACCAAGGCGCTGTTTCATCTAACTTGCCCCCCCCAAAAAAGTGGCACAATATTGATCAAGTTTTTTGACAACCAAAACACTGATGCCTTGCCAGTATACTGACATAACATCAACCAAGACACTGCTGCCTTGCCAGTAAACTGGCACCGCAGCAACCAAGACACTGCTGCCTTGCCAGTAAACTGGCATGGCATCAACCAAGACACAACTGCGTTGCCAGTAAACTGGCATCACAGCAACCAAGGCACAAGCACTGCCTGCTGCCTTGCCAGTAAACTGGCATGGCAGCAATGCGCAGCAACCAAGACTCAGCTGGCTTCCCAGTAAACTGGCAAACTAGCAAAAACATCAAAAACATTCTTCCTGCAAAAAAAATGAGGTCCTGATCTTTTTGGCGTCGAAGAGGACTTGATCAGCCGCCAATGCTGACTTGAAGGCGAGCAATGCGGCTTGTTGTGAAGCTTCCCAAGCATTCTTCGATTTGGCTTGGGCTGCCATGACGAAGCTTTCCTTGCTCTTCCCCAATGCCTATCAGCAAAAAAAACTATTCAGCAATAACTTGAGATAGGCTAAATATGGTTCATTGAAATTCCATGGAAATTCAATGTCAAAGCTAGACATTGCCATCAGAACAATAGCCATACTACCTCGAGCACAAATGGGATTCGTTGCCATTCCCAATCAGCTTGCGCAGCTTTGCACACAGCTTGCAAATCTCCATCCAGGCTCCTTGGCAGAAGCAGCACCGCGAAGAGGAGTGCAAAAATGACCATTGGGCCATTGGGATCCAATGGGATAGATCCAAAGAATGCCAGGCAAAATTCAAACGTCTTAGGCAATGCATGACTCTTCAACCTACTACCCAAACACTGTAAGCAACACCTTCAAACCGGAAGACGACTCCAAACACATTCTTTTTTCACCATGTGTAGCCAAAAGCATGTCAACGCCGCGGTGGAATCCCAGCCAATCTCGCTGCCTTTCTCTTTGCCTCCCGAAGGTTCTTCTGGTCTTTTTGCTTCCTGTAGCGAAGTCCATGTATGTCGTTCGGGTTCGGGAGAAACTTGTTTTTCAGCCTGTGCTGTTCTCCGATGTGTGTCCGATTCAGCTGTTCTTGTTCTTGTTGTTGCGCTTGAACAGCTTGGGGTCGAGCAGCATGAGGGTTCACAGCCAGACCGTCAGATTGGGCTGTTGAAGTCACATTGGGGTCAGCTTGAGGGATCTCTCGGGAACTACTGGCGCCAGTACTCGATTGCTGTTCTGGCTTTGCTATTTGAGGTCGACTGAGAAGTCGCCTGCATTTCTCATGCCTTTCCGCCCTCAAAGCACTCTCCAGCATGTTGTCCACATATTCCAAGTCATCAACCGAAGCCCTCGCAGTCTCCAGAGCACTGTCCAACATGTCGTCCACAGCATCCAAGTCATCGAACGGATCCATTGTAGTCCTCTTATCATCCTTGGCACTGTCCACCTTCTTATCCAGCATCTCCATTTCATCCCTCATCTTCAAAGTAGAAGGGTTCTCCCTGACAATCGTGCGTTCCTCCATACATAAAGTAGGATGCACTTGAGAGTTGCAACCACTGGCTGTTGCAACTACCGTATCCTCTGATGGACTTCCCTTGACAGGAGTGAAATCGTCGACGATCTCAGTGGGGGACACGCACCATCCAGGATCAACGCCAGGAACTTGGCCGTCGGGCGAAGTAGGAGTCTGCGCCATGTAGCATCAATCTACAATGAACAAATGGAGTCTTATAAGTCAAGATCTCGTGTCTTGTGGTTTGAGTGAATAGGTTTTAGTGCTGGGTTCTTTTGGAAGTTCTGGCAACTATCATAAGCTGTTTCAGCTCAAATTCTTAGAATCATGGCGGAGCAGGAGAAGAAGACTACCCAGGAGCTTTTGGAATGGATTGCTTGTGAGCAAATTTGTGCCAGCTGTTGGATGGAAGTCTTGAAGCCTTACTTAGAAGAGATTCTTGGCATGTATTTGGAACAAGCTTGAAAATTTTTTGAGGCGTGTCAATAAAGAATCAGTTTGACTACAGTAAATCAGTTTGACTATGTAAATTATAAATGGAGCGTTTACAACAAACTTTGTTTGAACATTTCTAGCGCCATCAGTCTTACAAAGTTTCAACTAGGAGGCATTTTTGTCTCCAGCTCCCATGTGTTAAATGCTGCTGTGATTCGAGGTCTGACTACAAAAGGTTCCAATGCATTTGTCAAGATTGCCGTTGCGATGAGAAAAGCATCGCTATGCTGGAACAGCGTGGGTTGATCCAAGAGTCTCCATCTGAGTGACGATATAGCGCCATGCAGAACTATAGCGGAGAAAGGGAGCCAAAGAATCAGTTGCAGGCGATATCTTCAGCTAACCGTAGCTAATCCCAAACAAGATTGGTTGAATGGCTGCCAGTATCAGTATACTGGCATGCCATTCAAGTGGTTGAATGGCTGCCAGTATACTGGCATGCCATTCAATTCCTTCATAGGTTTATATAAGTTTCATGTTCCCACCGATTTAACTTACCCCAAAAACTGTTCAACAAATTCTCACACCAAAATGTTGGGCCAATTTGGTTTGGCAATGGATATGGTGACGGGCCAAAAATAGTTGGCAGCTAAAGTTGCGACGGGTTTTTTAAAAAACTCATCACACTCCAGGTTGCCAAATCTATTTGGCTTAGTCACGGTTTCCCTTGGAACCCCTAAGTGCGAATTGCGATGGGTTTTTTAAAAAACCCATCACAAAACCATAGCTCTAGGCACTTTCCATCAACATTCTTCCCAAAAGCTGTGGACTGAAATGTGATCAAAACCACCGTGGAGCTATGAATTGCGATGGGTTTTTTAAAAAACCCATCACGATTCAGAACCCCGTCCCCTCCCCAGGAACCTGACGGGTTTTCACCCCCAAGACCTCCAAAAGGCAACCAAGACTCCCTCCATCAAACATTTCCCTGAGTTTGTCCAAGTACTCTGCAGAGATGAGGCCAGACAGCTTTGGGGCGAGCCACTGCCAAAGGCAGATGACATCCACCAAAGTCTCATGGAACTCCAACGGCATTTGTTGCTGCTTCTGGCGGAGTGACATGGGCACGCTCAGCACATTATGCAACTATTTCACATTGACTGCTTTCAAACCGTGTCCTTCATCTTGTTTGAGAAGTCAGATGTGACGGCTTGATTGAACATCTTGTGAACCCGGTTGAAGTAGATGTCACAGACTTCATTGGAGACCTGCAAAATCTCCTTCCATAGAGGCTTGCCACGGTAGCGCGTGATCTCACTTCTCTCTTCCCCCGGAACATAGTGCCCCTGCGCCAACACATCATAGGGTAGACCTGCGATGGCGAGCTTCATGCACACACGAAATCTGCCTGTTTGGCCCTTGGCTGATCTTTACTGCGCGACACAGATGGCAAATTTACCACATCATAGAAGTCAAATTATCAGCAATTTGTGGACATTTGTGGGCGTTTTTTTGAGCCAGCATGAACACGTGCCCTTATTTAGGACGGTGAAACCTGACTTTAAGTTTGTGCGGCTCTGGCTTTGCGCGACGCTCGGGCACAGCCCCACATACTAAACCAGCAGAGTGCACACGGCCAGACTCTATAAAAGGCAAGGCATTTGCTCCATGCCGCACTCGGCGGGCTTGCCCACCCAAACTCTTCAAATACTGCACTGCCCGATCGTAGTTAGGATATGTGGCAAAAGCTTCTGCCAACTCAAGAAATTCTTCTTGGCGCTCGGAATCGATTGTTGGCTCCACTCCCAAGTGGCTAATGCAGGTGTCCCAAAATTTTTGCACCCTTGTGGCTTCATCACCAGGAAGGACAAGCAATGCTGGTTGGCAAGGCTCAGTATCACACATGTGATGTTTGACAATGGCAAATACATCATTTGGTCCTTTCTCATACCTTCGTGGAAGTCGCTCAGACAATGGCATGCTTGCAGGCAAACCTGAGATCACAAGTAGAAGGCTAAGTATAGCAAGTCGAAAGTGCAAACTCACTGCATACTGTTGAATTAAGGAGCTTTCCCTCTTCCGAAAGGTGAAGCTATGAGGAATACGGTCTTCTTCATTCTTCCGAGGGCGATAAGCATTGTCCAAGGTCATAATTGAAGGCACCATATCCTTCCATGGCCGTACCTAAATTCATTATGTGCGCAAATTGCCCAAAAGACTCAAACAAGTCTCAATATACAGACAGTTTTCATCAAATTTCAATGCTCTTGTCATTTCACAACAAGGCACGCGATCCATCATCACCACGTGCAAGAACTCATTTCTTTCTTCAAAGATAGGGGCCACACGTTGCTCCAAAAGCCTCCCAAAGACACGTTACGATGTCAAACCATTTTGAGGTGGCAAAGAACATGATTTCATGAGTGTTTGGCAGAATCAATAGAAACAGCCTGCCTTTTGAAATCAGATGGTGTTTGTAGTTGGGACCCAGCAGACATCAAATGGGAAGTGATTGTTCCAAATAAGCCATCTGAGAGAGACCAATAAGAAAGGCAGGTTTCATAGAGTATCAAATCATCAAACTCAGAACAGAAGACACTATCGCATAATTTGCAGACAGGCGCCTATGTCTTCATGCGTGTGTCCAACTGGGAGACATGCTTGGCATGTCTCCCAGAAGAAGCCACCGCTGCATAGAAATGATAGGAGGCAGCCAGACAAAGAGTTCTTCAACTCCTTTACCGTATTATCATGTTGTAACCACAGCCTCAATGTAATCTGCGCATAGAAAGAACATCATCAGCACTCAACCCCAATAACGTTAACTCAATGCAAAACGACATAAATAGCACCATATTGCCGAGGAACGAGGATGGCCATGCCAATCCTCGCTGTCGAGCAGCTTCCCAACACATAGAAATTGTGATGAACACCGCTTCCCATGAAAAACTGCCGCCTGTTGAGACTCCTTCTTCGGCAAGAAAAATCACACAACCCCACCCATGCGCCAAAGTGGCGGAGACACTGATGTGGGGTCTTACCAGGCGCTCGAACACAGGAATCTTTGGCAATCTTCCTTGGTTCCATCTTGGGACCATGGCCTTGCTTTTGTCGTACCCATCGTAGATTATACAAAGTGTATCTTGCTTGGCTCTGGAAGCCTCCCGTGCTGCCCAGTATGTTTGGCGACAGCGCCAAGTCATCGTGAGATGACCTAACAACTGGTCGGCGCAAAGCGCGTGAGCTTGGAAGTCTGTTGAACTTCTCATTCGTGCCTTCAACTTGTCGCAAACACCACAGACTGAGTGCTGGCTCTTGGCACGGAACTTGAGAGTCTTTCTCCAAGCGGTCGTAGCAGCATAGAAGGTCGCTCTGCAAGCTGCTTCAGTGTTGTTTGCTTGACAACTTGCCACATAAAGCAAATACAATTGCTGCCAATTGCCCGGAGGCATCTCCCGAGCTGCAAGGAGCTTAGGATTCAGTTTTGTAATCCGACAACTTGGTCCCTCCAGTGCATCATGAAGTAGCTCTGCTAGCAACTTTGCACGCGTTTCTTCATGATCCAGGTCCATTGTTTGGTTCAAAAGCCTGTCACCGTTTAGTTTGCAATTTGTTTTGAACGCTGCGTTCTGTTTGCCAGCTTGCTGGCAAACAGATTTAAGTGGCTGCCAGCTAGCTGGCAAGCCATCTTAGGAATTTGGAAAATCAAAACAGCTCATGGCCAAGCAGGTCACAAAAAAGCAGCATCAAAATATTGACGATCTATTGCCAGGGCTCCCAGTGGGCATCGATTCAGAAATCGAATAATACATCTTCTGCATAAAAATGTTGACAGATGATGTTGCCAAAGCCGGTCTGGCATGAGTGCCTGCTCACACATATATCAAATAGAAGTCCAGGTTGAGACATGTTAAGTTATTGTTATGCTCCCACTCTCACCTTGTAGGGTGCGTTCATCAAGTCCTTTGAAAGTTCTCCGGGTCCGATTCAGGCGGTTGCATCCGATACCCAACATGCGTAAGAAGGCCCTGCGGCATACACGATGTCCATCTATATACCATTTGATGTGCTTTTGCTGACAAATGCTGCTGCTGGCACTTGCACTGCCCTCATCAGACTCTTCATCACTACTGCCATCTCCCTGACTTCCATTGGTCTGAAGCGACCAGAGCAACGCATCTTGCCCAGGCTTTGAAATAGACCAAAATAAAATGCAGAGATGAAGGAGTGCCTTGAAGGCGACATTCCTCCAGCACCTGAGGGTGTAACTGGTATCATGAGTGAATAGTTCATCGCTAACAACAGCTATTGATTAAAAAATGCATGACACCACATCCTTTTAAGTTTCCGACTCACGTTTGCATTTGCAGCTGCTGGTTTTTGCAGATTTCAAGACGTTTTTGATCCTCTTGGGATCTTTTCCATTCTTTTGCATACTGGCTCTCCTTTGCTTCATTGACGTCTTGCGAAGCTGCTCTTAAAGCTGACAAGTTGGCCAAGGAAAGGTTCGCTGCTGCAGGTGTCTTTTTCCTTAAGTACTGCACACATAAGAAACTACATCACATGATCATGGTTTGAGTGCTATAGAGATTTAGAAATCCATGTCAAGTGTCTCAGAAGAGTCTGGCTCTGAGGTATCATCTTCAGATTCTGATGGACTCCATCGACAAAAGCCGGATATACCAGTACGAGGCGGGCTTCGGGATCGGGATGTTGCACGCCAAACCCCCATTGCATTCCAAACAAAGTGTTGTGGTAGAGTATTTTGTATTAGATTTAATGTATAAACCTTTTCCAAATCAAAATAGCATGGTCTTACAGAAATGATATAAAGCTCTTCTTTTAGTCATGTGGTGTTGGTGTTGAAATGAACAGTGTTCAAGATTGTGTTTTTTCTACTTATGGTTAGATCTACTTTAAACTGGCTTGAACAAAACATTGAGCCATCTTGAGCCAATTTGAACGGTCTGGACTCCAAAAGCCAATCGAAACTACATATGCCATTGTTGCACTGCCGACTGCTAACTTGTAAAAGTAAGCCTGCCTGAAGAGCTGTGGCGATGCAAGTCATAGTGCAATGCTAAGATGTTGAGAGATTCTGGCGGTACCTTCAAAAGGTTGGTGATGAGCTTGCGTTTCAATGTATCCACCCTGTACTTCTTCACTTTGATTCCTTTGTTATACTCGGCAATGCAAGAGTTCAAAGCCACTTGTGGAGCAACTTTGCGACCATTTCCCTGTTTGTAAGCTTGAACTGCTTGCTGGAAAATTCCAACATAGTCTAAGGCCGAAGGCAATTGTTTCTCTGCCGTCTCTTGCCCCAGCCCTTGGATTGTCTATCAAGCACCCATTTTAGTTTTTGGTTTGCGCTTACATGGTTACAAACTGACAACTGAGTAGGAAACGAAGTGCTTCATAGAAATACCCTTCTTGGTTGTCCAGGTGGGTATATCGAGCTTTCAAGAAACGGATGCTCTGCAAAAGCGGCAACAGGTCGTCACTTTCCAGCTCTTCATCTGGAATACCCTCGTCAAGGAAACCGATTGAGCATGGTCGGGGAGTCAGGGGGCTGGCTGTAACACAAATTAGAAAAATAGTGCAACTTAGAAGCCAGAAAGTCAACAATGGCCGCAATGGATTGGCAAATGAGTCCTTTTGAAAAGCCATCGACATAGCGCACGCTAAAACTGGGAATGCTCCGGTCTCCCTGGCTGACGAATCGGAGGTTCAAAGGTTCACGGTAGGGGTCAAACCCCTGATACAAGATGCTTTTGAAGTGCACCGCCAAGGTTGCCATATGCGGAAAATCTCAGCAAACAAATCATTGACAGTGAAATAACTTCAGGACATGTTTTCATTTTTTCAACTTAAAGAGCCTTTCTGAAACTAGTTGAGATAAGGAGCAGCCATGTTTGGCATGTTGGCTATAGTCCAGCTGTCTCAATTCCACTACAAACTCATTGACTGTAGAAATCGGTTCCACCGACACAGGGGATGGAAACCCTTCGTGAGGTCGGTCCATCACAACCCTTGACAGGACTTTCTCGAACTTGTCGTGGTCGCCATAGATGTTGTTCAGCCAGGTCCCCAAGTTTCCATCAGCTGTGACCTGATAAGTTCAGAATATTCAGAAACCTGACTTTGAAGAATGATTGAATAACAGTTTGTTGATAATTGACATTGAACGGAGAACAACCAAGCCTGCTTAAAGCAATCCCATATCAGATCTCGGGTTGTTTTAACCTTTTGATTCTCCTCTTCAAGCTTAGCAGCCATTGCCACCAATTGAGCCCAGACTTCTAAATAAAGCAAGATCAAATTGAAGACAAACGATTTGATAGCCAAGCAATGCAGAATGAACTGAAGTGAAATCAAAACATGCTGGAGACACGGGGATTTCAATTTGGAAGCTTCCTGCGATCAAGCCATGGTGAGTCGAGAGATGATGGCTGTATATCTGATTGATGAAGATGCCTCTGCGTTGGAAGTCTTCTCGTTATTGACGAGCCATGCGCAATCCTTGGAGAATGCGGCGACTTTGATCCATCAAGTGGCATCGCACTATGAGCAGGAAAATGCCTTTGGTCGTAATTGTACAACATTGGATGTACCTGCTCTTCAAGATACTGTGTTTCAATTACGTCAACAGGCATTCCAGTTGCGAAGCGAAGCATGCAACTGCTATGCTCTGATTCAGGCTCAGGCCAGGAGACTCAGATGAGACGTGCCTTCAATCGAGTTTTGCATGGAATGGCTGGATTTGAATTTGCATCCTCTCAATCGAGATTTGGATGGCATAAGAGCACCTTTTGAGGCTCATAACATCAATCAGTCTGAAATGTTGTGAGCCTCCGAAGCTTTGCGGCAAAAGCAATCAAGCTTGGCAATGTCCACTGCCTGAAGGCATAAGTGCATGACAGCCAAAGAGTGTGCATCCTGCATGAAAAAAACATGAGTAACATGATCATGATGTTAGCCAGTATACTGGCTGACATCCACTTGCAGCCAGCATGCTGGCTACAAGAGACACGAGCGACTTGCTTTCTTCCAGCCAGCATGCTGGCTAAAAGTGATGCAAGCGACTTGAACTGTTTGTCCTGTGTGATCTTCTTGCCTTCATTATGCACGCTAAGGCAGCACCAATGGCCCTGCAATGCATTGCATTGCCAGCAAACTCTCCAAGAGCCTGTCATGAGCTGGAAAAATGTGAATGCGAGCGTACTGTTGTGGTGGCGTTCAAAACATGTTGCGGTGGCGTACCCGATCACTAACGCACTTGGTGTCCATGACGTGCGCTGGGAATCCCATCAGAAGAAACTTCTCAAGTCCTATTCGATAGAAGTCTGATGATAAGTGTTTGAAAACAGTTGGAGAATTGAAAACCATTTTCTCAGTAAGTCCTGTCAGCACTCTCTCTCGTTCACGCACCCAATAGCATCCCCCTGGCCTTAGTTTTTTGTAAAACTTTAAGGAGCAAACTTCAACACAAAACTGCGACAACTTTATTTAGGAGCTGACGTTATGCACATGAAGGGAGAACTTGGGCTTGTCAAGACCGGCATTCGCTGCAAATTCTGCGACAAATCGCAAACCACCCAATTGGGCTTGATCTCTGACAAAATGGCCAGGGCCTGTACATGCAACAGTCCAAGCAAAGAAATACAGTAATAATGAAATTCCAACCTGTGAACTGCGAGGCGTCAATTTCACTCGCCATTTCTGGCTTTTGTCCTTAAGGTGGTTCTTCTTCACCTCGCAGGAAGGATGTTAGTTTATCAATTTAAATATTATTCTAATTCATAAGTTTGCAGCCTTGTGTTTCTCCATGTACTGCCAATGGATATGGCGCCACTTTGGCTCTGTTTCCTCAGGCCTGCAAGGTGGCTTGGCATGTCTTAGTCAGCTTCAAAAATATCACCTACCAATTTCAAAAGTTTCTCAGGGCTCTGCTCTTTATCAATTGGGAAGTCGATGTAGTTCTTGGGGTCTCGATCCTGAACAAATATCTGAAGCTGTCAAAAATTTTGACATAGTCCACTCGGCCTTCTGCTGCACCACATTGTTTGGAATCAGGAACCTTTGCCTGCAGGACAGATTCAAATCTTACAAGTTACAACCCAACCACGGAAACTTATAAACCTGAGCACCCAACCATGGCACAATGAAATTCGCGAATTGGTTGGCCAAGAGCTGCAAGGTGTGCTCCACAATGTCACCCAGGTTCCCCATCAAATACTCTTTGCGCACCAAGAAGAAATAATAGCGGTTCCTGTCTACAGCCACTCCAAGATATTTCCTGATTCAGCAAAGTCTAGTCAGAAAATTATGAGTGAACATTTTAAAACAGAGTCAAGTAGCGGGTTGATTTTGGTGACATACAATTGGTAGTCTGGCAACTGTTGCTTGATGTGGTCCTGCACTTCTTCCATGACAACTTCAATGCCAAGAACATTCTCCAGCACACCAGCCTCAATGACAAACAAATAACAAAAACAACTCAGAGGTTTGCAAAAATATGTCAATATCCATCCATCAAGAAACCACAGGCTGCAAACGGCGCAGGTTGGAGATGCAACCAAAGAATGGTTTGGCTTTGGCATCGTCAAGCCAGTCTGACTTCGTTCGAAGCCGTGAGAATGCCTTACAAGGAAATCCTGCAACGTAGAGCGCTGCCTGCACCAAAGCACTTTCAGAAACAGAGCAGCGCGCAATCAGAATTCAAAGCCTGGTCACAGAAGGCGTCAACTTCTCGGGAAAATACATCTTCATATATCCTTGAAGGATAAACAATGACGTGATGGTAGATCACATTCAAATAAAAAGTAAGCGTCCAATTAGGCATGGCATCATGGCTTCCAACTAAGCATCCCACGTGGTTCCTGGAAAGTTGGCCTTGATGAAGGTTCGGCTTGCCCGGGAAATATCGCAAGATGACCTTCACCAGTTTTCCAATTCAATTTGCATCCACTGACTGTTGTGAAGCTATAAGTGTCCGACAGATGTTCAATCATGTGGGAGCAGTTCACTGGGCGGAACATCTCTCGCAAAGCCACGATAGGAGACTCAGCCCCAGAGCCTTTGCCAAACTTGTTGATGAAGTATGACTCACAAAAACAACCGCTGAGCTTCCTGCAATCAGTGATCACAGTTAGACTGGAATGCAACGATTTCAAGGTCTCCCCAAGACCTCATCAAATGAAAACTTAAAAAGTCACAAGCTGCATATTTGTTGTTCCAAGGCTATGGCCGATGGTTTCAGCAAAGATCGGCCCAAAATTCAATCCATCTACTTGTTCTTCAGTAAGAGCAGGGCCCCTGCATAAAACAAAACGCAAAAGAACTTGAGACCTATCAATTTTGGGGCGGGCCATGGCGGGCCTCTGCAAGAAAATTTCAGGTTCTTCAAGTTCTTCTGATGGTGAATCACATTCAACGCAACCATCATCATCGGCCGAGTATCTCCATGTGGGCATGGCCTTTGTTCGCAAAGAATCGGGATATGTAGTATTATGAATAATGTCTAAGGCTAAGGCCCACGCATGAGAAGCGCCAATTCTGTGCCCCCCCCCCCTTCGAGCCTTTCTTTCGGTGGAAAGTGGTGCAAACTTTCAACATCTAAAACAGACACCCAGTTGTCATTTGGAAGACACCCACTTCAATGCAGACCTCCTTATATGTTTTCATCACAAGTGGTGGGCTGTTGTGCAAATCAAGCTCGAGCCAAGGCTCAAAGCAGAACTCATGCAATAAGCGGATATGCTAATCAGTGGCCACGGGCGGAAAGCAACCGGCAAGATGGGCAGTCCACCAATCAGTGCGCAGAACGACCACGGAAACAAGGGACGCAAAACCCAACAAGAAACGCCGTAAGTAGTTGTGAGTGCAAGTAAGTGGGTGGCTACACTCAACGGCGAGAAAAGCAAACCCGACCAAGCACACAATAGGTACTGTTTTCTCATGACTCATGTGGCCTCTATTTTGTAGGAAGTTTGCAGCATGTAAGGGCACATTCTGATCTCCAACATAGAACTGGAATTCTTTGAATCGGAAAGCAAATGCTCTTTCGACATGTATTTGAATTTGTGTTTTTTTTTCCACTTACCAGAAAGTCAGACATTAAGTATTATATATATATATATTTATTTATATTGAAAAATAAAAGGTGTATAACTCTGTCCTATCCTGTTATTAAGGCATATTAAAACTATGTTTATGTGGATGCAAAAGTATGGTACAAATCATGCTGATAGGGACTTTGCCCAGGTTGATGTTGCTTTGTCAGGTCTTTGAAGTCAATATGTATGTCGGACATGTTGTCGTCGCGTGTTTTCTCTCATTCCTCGGTGTGTTTCTGCCCAGGTGACAAGCTCTTGAGAGAATTTGAGTTCCTGGTTATTCCACGGCCAGGCTTCGACGTGCCCAGGACCAAAGCAGATCCCACCGGGCTCAAGGCCTTCGGCCCACGGTTGCAGTGGATGAAGATGCCTGAGGACAGCTCGGATTGGTCCACAGTCAGGGCGACGACCACAAACCTGAGAAGTCCAGAGATGAAAAGAGGAAGAAAGATGGAACTGGCCCCTTTAAGGCCATGTTAAAGAGGCCCAAACACTCACCTTGTGTTTTTCCGTGTGTTTCTTCTTTGTGTTCTTTTGTTGTTCTTGTTATGTTGGTTTCTGGGAGCCCACCTTGCTAGTGGCCGTTTGGACACAGGAAGCGCGCACTTTACTTTTGCTCATGGCTTTGCTCAAAGATCGCTCTCCCCCCAAATCACATCAACTAGCTAGGTTGACAGCAGATACCAGTTCATGCACAGAAAAGAAACCCGGCGCTTTTGCCCGGAAAACTGTGCCACACCTCTCAACGGAAGGACAGCAACAGATGGCAAGATTCACTTGGACCTTTTCATACCTTTTCAAGGTAAGTGGTTATGCAAGGGGCCGTCATTTATGTAGGGACAATTCGCGCATCGTAGGTGGTGTGTATTTTGTTTTCAAGATCCTAAAGTTAGATGTCAGAGCACTTTGAGTATCAAACACTGCAGGATTTTCATTTTATAGAGGGCAATTTGTCCTCGACAGAGATCAGAACAAGGACGCGAGTGGAGGCTTGCAAAGGAGCACCCGGGCAAATCTAAATGTCCGGTTCGCAGAGGGACGAATGGGCCAAATACGTTTGAGTGTTTTATAGTTTGTTTTTTGTGTGTGGATTTACCAATTCACAAAAAGCAAACATGCAAACACGTCAACCCTGAGACAGGAGGCACTTTGAGCGCAATAGAAGGACTAATCCCTCCTGGCGTTCTGTCATACATTCGTCGTCGCGAACTTTACTACAAATGATGTGATGTCAGACAATTGAGCCAACGCAAGACCCTTGAACACCAGGGATCCTTGTTGTGGCATTGCTTCGAGAGGATTCAGTGTTCAACGAAAGTGCTTAGAGAAATGGCTCCATCAAGTCTGCAGGAGTCGACCATTTTTGGCATTGAAGAAGCACATGCCTGAAAAAGGAGCGTTTTGCGCATCTCAGAGGGCCCGTGGTGCCATGATGTCCAGATGTGTGTAGTTTGCTGAAAGCCCCCTCCCTGTATGCACCAGCAGTTAGTTGGCTTTTGCATGGTGAGCTGGCCAAGAGAGATACGCCGATACGCGTTCATTGACCTTGACAGTTTGACTCCGCATCCTACTCCGTCCTCCTTCAAGACTTCAAGAGTGTTCGTTCTGCGGCTGTGAGTATAATTCAGCTGGAAGCTGAACAACTGGACATCGTGGAACTTGATGGACACACTTTTGAACGCCAGCCCAGCAACCATCTCAGTTGCAAGTTGCCTGAACACTACTTATGATTCTCACGGCCTTTGGGTGATTTATATAATCAGATCCCAAGGAGGTTGTCATGTACCGAGACAACAGATGGGACAAATGGGAGTGAAGCCGAAGTACCGGGACACACTGACCCTGGTCTGCTGACGGGTTGTTCAAAGGTAGATAATACAATATAATACATATATTATATGAAATCATATATCTATACACAAAAAATTGTGTATACAAATTATATACGGTATAAGATATGTCTATTGATTGCTTGCAGGTTCGAGGCAACCAATGGAAGGTGCCATGCTGAGGCTTACCATTGTGGGAGCTCTCATTGGCTCCTCTGGCGCAATCTTGAGCCAGATCATGTGCGATGCTTCTTGGTGTTGGATGACCGGTGACCAGAAACTGTTGACACCGGACACTGACACCGCTGTCATCAGAGCCTCGTTTATGTCAAATCAATCAAAAACAAACAACCATTTGCCGATGAATTCTGCTGTTTGATTGGTTCGAGCCACAAGGGTCAGGTCTATCCTACGTTGGAAAAAGGAGTGGAAAGCACCACTTTAAGGAGCAAGGTTCTACACCATTGGACCATTTGGCATATCAAGGTTGATTCTCGGATTGGCCAGCCCACTATCCTTGCCCAGACAGATGTGCGAGTCTCAGGCGATGAATCGGAACATCCTCGAGGTCCTGGGCATCATTCAAAAGGAAGAGAAGAAGGGCAACTCTACTTACACGAGCCCTGGCTACGTTGACGGCAGTATATAGAGCCGCGATAAGTTCGTGAAATTGCTGGTCAATCAAGGTGAAGGTGGCGAAGGTAAGGCTTTGAAATGCACCGCTTCCTGCATTCGTGACATTGTGTATCACAAGATTTCAGCTGGGTGGGTGCGTAACTGACTTGTTAGGGCTGTCATCATAGTGAACTTACTAAGGATCGAGGGTGAAGTCACCACCACGAACAAAGATCACGTGGCTGATCTCCTTGCTGTCGCCAAGAAGGTGTCAGCCCAATGACTTGAGTAAAACCTTGTTTTGGGAGATCATTGTCATTGTCGTTGGATATGTTGGATACTTTTGACTGTGCAAGCTGTTGGCAAAAAGACCATGCAGGATGGTGTATATAGCTCAATTCCCCTTTGCATGTTGCCCATTCCCTCGCATTTTGCATTTAGTTTTGCCTCTGCAGTTGCAATATGTCTTAATGATACAGTACTGTAGGGCGTTTTTTTTGCCCTGACTCAGCCCAGGTGCTGAAAAGAATTGAATAGATGTTGAGCGGACCATAGCTATTTGAACCTTCCGCTTCCTGAGTCCAAAGCAGCGTTGTGCCTGGCAGGTGGTCATCGTACCGGGTTATGGGGTTGCAGTCTCCAAGGCGCAATACGCCATGGCGGAGCTAGTCGAGATGCTCACGAAGAGACAGGGTTAATGAAGGCGGTTTTTAGGATCGTTAGGGATGCTGATCCATGAAGTTCAATACTCTGCTACACTCCTGTGTATATAAATAATTGGCACGCCGAGTGGCATTAGAACAAACAGGAGGACTATTGCTTTGTGTCATTGTTTCTACCGTCAGAACAGCAATAAAGGATGAGTGAAGTGATGCTGATATGAGACTAGAATCACGGTTTCCAGAACTTTCTTACAGTACTGAGTCACGGACAAATATGGTGGGTTGTGCTGTTGTTTCTCATTGGCATGTCGGAATGACAAGTGGTTCAAAAAATGAACCCAACCAGTAGGGAGGATTGTTTGCTTGGAGAAGCATATTTTTCGTTCTGCTTTACACTGATGCTGACCCCGGGTCCTGGAAGAGAAGCAACTATTCCACACTGAGTCTATATTGATATATAGCTATAGTTAGATCTCAAGAAATGTAGGACACCAATCCCAAGGTGTGGTGTGTATATCCCCATGGCCCATGGCATTTACGGGTGTAATGGCTTAAGGCTTGCTGCCACGTATACCATCGTATACCCATCCTTCTCAGGAATGGTGCTGACGTGAAGATTGCCATTCATCCTGTGGCTGGACGCATGCCTGGCCAGTTGAATGTCCTCTTGGCCGAGGCTGGTGTCCCCTACGACCAGGCAGGGTGCATCAATGGAGCCTCAAAGTGGATCTAAGCGCAATAAGAAGACAAGACAAGAAATGGTCAAAATGACATGGGAAACTTTTGTACCACTCAAAGATGGTGGGACGACACTGGCTTGGGGCGGATTCGGCTTTGGCTTTAAAAGGCACATACCATTTGCATGGGGAAGGCTTGCGTAGGCTTGCTACAAAAGAAGTAAGGAAGGTATGTAAGGCTCTCTTTAGTTAAGGGGCCTTGCCTTTCTTGGTTCATCTCTTTTTTCTTTTTTGCTGCCAATGTTGCATGTTTCAAGAGATTACATTGAGCTGCAGGTAAAGGAAATGGATGAGTTGAACGATCCTAGCGATTGGGCAACTTGCCTCAGTCTTGGAAGTAGTGACCATAAACAGATGTAGAAATCCGAGGCTACAAACAGTGTTGTCCAAAGCCTCACTGAAACTGCCTCCACTAAAGGCGTTCAGCACCTGTCAGCTGCACCCACCAGCAGTTTTGTCATCGCCATTGCTTCCTGCTGTAGATTGGTGAATTGTTTCTTAACCTTTTGACCTTTGGGAGTTGTCAGTTTTCGGAAGCACAACACCAATCTCGAACCGGGATAGAACACCCCTTTTGCTAAAGCCAAGCAAGCAGGCATGTTGGGCATTGGAATGCTGAGGATGATGTAGATGTGTCCCTGGTCGTGGGAGCCAATGACACTGTGCCTTGGGCTACTGTACGAGGGAAACTCAATGATTGTTCTTTTGCGGATCTTGTGATTCTGTTTACTTTACCAAAACCATAGACTTACTTTGGGATACTCTAGGAATGCGAGCCATTCAGTTGATGATGAAACTGTGGCATGAAAGAACCCATTCTTGCCAATTCTGGTGTGGCTTCTGCATGATGTTCAGCAGCCGATTGTATGTGATGACAGTCAGACTGTTGCGTTGCGGGTGCCGAGGTCAACTCCTTGGCGGAAGAGGACCCTCAAAGCCCAATTGCTGGGATGCCAGTGATCCGTGCTCCGGATGCATCAAGACATGAAAACATGAAACCTTCACAAGACACGAAAGTTTGCAGGAGCAGTTGTTTTTTGAAGCCCGAGGCCCCGCCTTCCTACTTAATTCAGTAGGCGCCTACTTAATTAAGTAAGGTACGGGACGCTACCAGCTACTTAAGCTACTACATATGGACGCAGGATAGCTCACGCTTCCTTGAAGAAGTGCTCACCTTAATGATTTGGTTCCTAGATGTTTCCTAGATGTTTATGGAAACTTATATAACTTTGATGTTCCATGCCAGTGCTTAGATATTCAATGAATCCTTCACTGACGAATAATGCATGGTCATCTATGTAAAGTTGCTGGTGGCACAACAAGCTCTAGCAGCAACTCTGTGACTCGCTCTTCTGCTGGACAATTACTCACCCCCAATCCCCCCGACGAATGGCAACTGCAAAGATGTTTTCCATTGTTGCTCTTGCCGTCATGTAACAGAGTCGGGTGACCCCCGAAAGGGTGAGGTCATGACCATATGCCTGGGATTGCAACACGGTATACAAGACGAGGATTAAGACAAGGTTTACATTCAGTGCAACAGGCAGAAAGCAAGGAACGAACAAATAAAGGTCTTAAGGTCTAAAGAACAAGGAAGCACCATACAAAGGACACATGAAGATTATCCAGCATGCCAGGGTGCAGCCAAAATCAGGTGTGTGGCTGGCCAAGAAGTGCATTGTCGTTAAGCGGTCCTTGGGCATGGGCTATGCAGCCTTGGACAATCCCGTTTTCTACAAGGCTGGGCGGCGTTGGCTGGCTTCAGCCTTGACCCGCAGGTGTTCAAAGCCACGGGTCGGTCCAAGCATCAAATAATCAAGTAATGCAATATAAGGAACCATTACGTTTAAATGACAATGGCTCTACTATGGCCTTCCGATGTCATCAGGTTATGTGAGCAGCGAAGATGGCGAAGACGTAGCAGGAAAGCAGATGAGCCCTTGTCCACATGCAGTCTACTGGAGAAACTACTTGTTAGACGTGCTGTGATAGTTCTACATGTGATTGCTTGATATATTTTGATGTGCTGTCATGACGCAATCATTGTCGTATTCAGCCGAATATCACCAGCCCTCGTTGTTGCGTCCCCACACGTTCCATCGAATGTTCTATTCCCGGAATATGTCAACGAAAACAATGGCATAGCGGCATAGCTGCTTGACCGGGTGGGCGTGTTCAATTCTTTTGTAGCACAGAGATATCGTGCAGGATAGCACCGACATGCTTCTTGGAGACGCCAAAGAGATAGCACAGGATCTCGAAGAACTGGTGCATACCAAGCGACTTGTCCAAACGAACATATCGAGGCCGGGGTAAGATGAGTTTCGTTCTACAAAGGGTGCGTCCTTCTGTCTGTGGAGGGATTGAAAGATCCACCCGATCTACCCCTTTTATCTATCATCAATATTGGCCTCGGGTGTCCTGGTCCTTGGTGGTTGGCTCCTGCAGTGACTCCAAGTCAGTTCTTCCAATCCAGCACTTAACCCTGAATGATGTTCATTCATAGTATCAAGCAGCCCTTCAACGACCATTCTCTGTAAGTATTGTACACTTGTTAGGTTTTAATATGCTGCTTGAATGAGGTTGAGGTATATGGAGATATTATGTAGAGATATCACCTGGTCAGAGCCTTTTGATGGGGCAACTTTCAGTGTGTCATTATTCTATTTTGGATGCGTATGGTGTGGATCGATTGGATGCCCGTAAAGGCACTCAAAGAAGCCCTCAGTATGTCAAAAGGCTACAGTGCTACAGCACTTGCCTCTCAGATTTGCCGCGCATTTCATGGTTTATTGTATAAGCATTTAGTTGCATGGACTTGTTAAAAAAGTGTATATTTCAAGTTAGAGGTTGGTTGAAACAGGTCCAAATCATTTGGAGAGTATTTGTCTTGGTGTTTGTGCTGGAAGAACAACGCCAATGCACATTCTGGGAACCCCTGTCTTTGTCTCAGGTTACACCACCACTGAGCACAGCTCGACACACGGTTCAGTCCAGCCGTGCGATCGACCCCGCTGGAGGCACTGTACCTCTAAATGGTGAAAGGAAAGGTATATACAAGCGATTGCCTCCAACCTAATAGCAAAAGGAACCTGATAATCCTAATAGCAATGGCCTCCAACCTACTAGCAATGGCCTCCAACCTAATACCAATGGCCTCCAACCTAATAGCGATGGCTTCCAACCGACTAAAGCTTTGATCAGCCAATAGATACAAAGAGAAGAGATTTCCACAGATAGCACTTGACCCCAAAGGTTCATATGATGGATCCGTACAATAGAACATTTGAGGACCACGAATCTAGGCAGTACCTCCTGGTGCAGTTTCTTTGTTTCAATTGCCGGTGACAAAAGCACACCGGCCTGTCTTGGGCGTTTGAATCTGCACCGAAACCAAACGCTGAAGGATTCGCGTTTGCTGTTTGAGGCAGAGAACATGTCCTGTCTCGAATGACTCTTTTAACTTTTTTCAATCTTGCAGTGTTGTTGGGCTAGGTATGAGATGGCCTTGATGCGGGTGAGTTTTCATGATTATCGAATACATATATATATATATATACATCATTATACATCATATTCATTAGCATCCAACAAGCTTGCTCTTTGGCAGCATAAATGAGAACTATCGGGCCTTCTTCAGGCCTTTTCGCCCAGCCCACTGAGTTCCAAATTAATTTCGGACGTTGCCACCACCTGCTGCAGAGGCTCCTGCCTTGGGATCTACTGAAGCGTTGGTACGTTCTGCAACGGGGCCCCGAAACAGCGCGGGCCACCGGTCTCAAGCCGTTTCGGCGACCGGAACATGTCGTCGCGCCTGCAAAAGGAACAATGCAGCACAGCGAAGCAGACCCAATTTGCCCGAGTGAGTATTCTTATGTGCTGTTACCCTAAGTGAAAGAAACATTTACTAATTTTACTATGACTTGCGTTAAAAGACAAGCAATTTTGGATAGTATTGGTAAAGCTCGGTGTGGATTTCTGTGATTGTCGAGCAAACCTTTTCTCAAACAATTTGAGTGAGGTTGGTTCAGCAAGTTGCGTCATAAATGTTTGTTGCATCGGGATTTGTGTGGTTCATAATTGCAGTTGGACCCTTGTTGTTGCCTCGTTGCAGAGTACAGTTTCTTGATCACTCAGACTGAAGGACGGTTCGTAGCTGTCGTTGGTGGTTTCACTGACGACCCAAACACCAGGAGCTGCAGATGGCTGGGAAGCATGTGACGCAATTTGTTCATGACATGACGCTTGGAAATCGGAAGATGCTACTCACAGGCGTCAGGTCTGGGATGATGTTGGAAGTGCTTCCCTAAAGTTCCTAAAGTGCATCCACTTTCGAGGTATGTTTTGGGATCCGTATGCCAGAGGGAGAGCAAATATCCCCTGAAGGGTGAAAGCGAATGTGGCCTGTTGGCTTGGCATTATGATTTATTTTTTTACATATTTTTGTAATGTGCCTGTTTTTGTTGCCATTGTTTGTCACGCGTAAGATGGGATGAGATTGCCTTAGCACTGTGTCCGGTGCTGCATGCTAGAAGTTGCAAAGCCACCTGTGCTTTTTTGAGTTTTTGAATCAGTCCCATTCAGAGTATCACTGCTTTGCAGGTTCTTTTAGGTGACGGTGGCATGACCACCTAAGACCAACTCTTTTGTACTGGCTGTTCTTTTTCTTGCCCGCCACTGCCGCCACGGTGTCCATTTGCCAGCCAAGATGATAAACACCTCTTGGTCTTTGATCTTGACCATACTGATGGTGAGAGGGGTATGCAACATTGTGGAATCACGAGACCTACCAGGGCCTACCAGCTTCCGACTTTCGAATTGCCCTGCCGAGCTTGGCCTCAAGATCCCGGTGCCGAGGATTTGTGACCGCGGGGAGTGACTCGGGCCGAGATGTGACAGCACTGGGAAGACCAGGAGTCATTCCGTTGCCAACCATGTGGAGATGACTACTGACTACTAGTAAATACTAGTAACAAGGACGCCATCGCAAGTAGGTTGGAGGCCATCGCTACTAGTAACAAGAAACCTTACGTTTGGTTTTTCTTCCCGGCTTTGATGCTATTGCTAAAAAGAATCGTTTACTCAATCATCACTGAACAATAGCACTTGAAAGACTTGAGTGTTCCTGGAATAGAGGAAGTCAAAGTCTTCAATTTGACAAGGGGTGTGACAAGGGGTGTGTTTCTGCATTCTGTTGGGACCGTGTGAAAATCTCTCTTCAGTTGCTGCGATCATGCACCCACTCCTCCCATTTACCTTGATGCACAGCAGGCAACCTTTCCAGGAACGCAGCAGTGGCTCCAACATGATTCAGCAGCCCAACATGCACGGCATGATCTCTGATTTTGCGGGATAGGGAGGCTTTCATGTATGATTAGGATGTGAGGCCTCTGTTTCCCTCATATTTCCCGCCGCCGCCAAGGGAGGTGCCCGCAGAACAGCGCATGGAGACTGCTAGGCAGATTAAGGAGTGAGCCAGTGTTCTGTGGTCTTTGCGCAACAAGAGTGTAAATCGACGGGGCTCCAAACAAAAGCAACGCATGTTGCGGCAAGTTGCAGTGTGGAGAGTTAGTAGCTTCTGGCTCCTAGTAGCTTCTTGTTCGTACTAGTAAGGCCAGGAGCCCCTAGTAGCGTCCTTGCTCCTAGTAGCGATGGCAGGAGCCCCTAGTAGCGATGCCCTTTGTTCCTAGTAGGAGAAACATGCATACCTTTGTCGAGACGTTGCCGCTCTGACCTGCTTTTGAGTAAAATGTCAAAACAACAAAACGCGCTTCTGCCAGATCTGCTGACCTTGCATGCAAGCCAGGTCTTCTGAAAAATGAGAGGTCACGGGAGGTGATTGTTGCTGTGCTTTTGCGCTACCAGCAAACTGCAAGAGTCATTCTGGTTTTCTTAGATTGAATACTTTCATGAGATGCCCATTTGGAAGCTCAAGCAAGCGAGCCTGAGATATGCCAGGTGGAAGAGTACCAGAAGTACGACCAGGCCGATGGTTTGGCCTCATTCTGTTTCTGTATTAGCGTCCTTGCTCCTAGTCGTAAGGCCAGGAGCCCTAGTAGCGTCCTTGCTGTGAATGCTGGATTGACCCAATCATTACATCGCAATACCCGCAGTGAACAAGCGTGAACTTCACGTGACTTCTATTTATGTTTTTTGTTGCTGCAATGAAATGCTGTCATACATGCACATTTGGCATCAATCGATCAGGTGTATTAGATGTTGGAATAAGCTTGCCTCGTCTACTTTTCCTGCACACACTCTCTTCATTGGAAAGCGTCAAAGAGCAACAAAGGTATGATGAAGGACAGTGAGAATGGAAAAGAGGGCTTGAAGGGTTTGACTTCAAGTTCATTGTCTACTCAGGTCTATTAGCACGAAGCTGCTATTCAGAAAACTGAGCAAGAACGGCTTTTGAGATGCGCTGTGGCATTTGCTGAAAGGATCCTCGAAAGTTCAAGACCATTTCAGACATCAATCCCAAGACGAAACAGGCCAGGCCAGAATGGCCAGAGCGTGAAACGGAGAACATCGACTCGTCGACCTGTGAGAATCCGTACTGTATGTCATTCAACGCAGCTCAATGCGCCATCCGATCCGGATCAGTCTTGCGCAAGTGTTTGCAATGCTTTGTTTCCACAGACGTCAAATCATCACAGGAGTGGACGATCCAAATTGGCTATGAGCGCTTCTTAGCTCCGGAGGAACGGCGAGGGATGTTTCAATGTGCGGGGGTGGATTTGCTTTTGACACCACCAGGAGGTGTTGCGAAGAGCGTTGAGATGAGGATCCTGTTGAGTTGGGTTGTAAGAGTCTTACAGCACAATAATCAATCATTGGTCGTCAAGCACCCAAGCCAAGTTGAAAGCTTATATAGTTCAATTGATTACAGTAGTAGTAGTAGTAGTAGTAGTAGTAGTAGTAGTAGTAGTAGTAGCAGTAGCAGCAATCTCGATGCCATCATCAAGTAGTTGAATCCCGTGCCAGATCTTTTTTCACCCAGAGATCTTCGTGGATTCGATCACGACGCCTTTGCCAGAGGTACGGCGAGAATTGTTGTAAACATCACTCAACAAGTTGATGCCGCAAATGTGTGTATTGCATTCTTTCAAACTCATTCTGTATTTGCATAGAGGAACTATATTGTAACTATATACGAGTACCTGACAAAATTACTGTAAGTCAGCAGTAGTCTTCGGCTGGACATTGTTATGTTATTTTTGGGATTTGACTGCAAAACCGATCGGGGCCCACCCAAAACCGATACCCGATACCCCAAAAAGTTTTAGATGTATATATATATATATACACAATAAAACCTGAGACCGATACGGTACCACCCCAATACATGTAAAGAGATGCCGAAACCTGATGAAACCTGAAAATCGATAGGGGCCCACCCAAATTATAGACGTCCTTGGCGGGTAATAAGTGATATCCGACATTCATATAAATATATATATATATCGAATAAGATTCTATAAGTATCCTTTTAATTTCATGAAGCACTCGCCAGTTAGTGTCGGCAGGTAGATGTTCCCACGAAATGCACGTGTTCATTCTTGTGCATGACTTTCATGCATTTTTGTATTGTTTTTTACCACTCCAGGCAGCATGTGTTTAAATGTAAAGCACTTTGTAAATACGTCTTGCATGTCCAACAAATCCGTCCGTTTGTTTCTATATGTCTATGTTTCGGCAGCTCAGCCGAAGCAGCAGTCCTGAAATGGTCAGTCTTGAATGCCGGCGACGTCAAAATTCAATATTTTTTGAATATTCTACAAGACAAACTGTTGCTCCTGGCCTTCTGTCGTCTGGAGATTGCACGCGAGCCATGCAAGCGAAACGGGACACAAAACGAAGAGAGCGGCCGCCACACCGCATGGTACAGATTTGGCGTGCAAACAGTTGGTATAAACATGTATAAATCGGTGTCCACGTAGACATCAACACGCCGTGAAATTCTTCTAACATGCCAAAAGACAACGCCCAACGATCTGAGTCTAGAAACCGCTCAAGACTGCACGTGGTTTTTGTCGCCAAAGAAATCATG